TCTCACATCAGAAAACCTAAGAAGCATGGGCTAGCATACCATACCGTGCATATAAATGAACCAGTAAATGTGGCATAGCCTTGTCAGCTTTCATTAATGCTAGATCCACAGAGTTAGACATTTAGAACAAAAACAAAAATTCCCTGAATCAGGGAATCTGGGTCTACTTATTTCAGCAAGGGCTAGACACGTGGATAAGATAGTAGGAATATAATTATATTACAAAAGATGGCGGTGATTCTGTTGATGATCACATGGGAATGATGGCAATGATTCAAGCATGTTGTGGGGAGTTATTTGTGAATACATTTATAGATGAATTGCACAGGATAACCATCACAGCCTTGTCCTGCTCATAGGTTCCTAGAGGCATCTAGAATCTGGCCCCAACATCTGCTGTTGAGAAATAAATCCATCCATGATACATCTGAAATACTGCCATCATCCCCCAGTGGTGATCAGTAGTATCTCCAACATCCTGGGTAATATAAATATAGGAACTGTAGTTCAGGATGTTGGTGCAGGGGCCAGGTTGCCTGAGGTTGTTTTAGGATGGCTTTTTCCCCTCCTCTCTGGGTCCCTCTCTTAATCCTATTCTTGTATTTACTTTATTTTTTTCCTTCTTTCACATTGAATTAATTAATTTATACCCCCACTATTCAGAATTTTTTTACCCCATTATTCAGAAATTTATACCCTGCTATTCAGAAATGCTTTCAGAGCGGCTTACAAATTTTAATTGGTTGCTATGTTAAAGGAGTAACTCAGAAATTCCACGTTAATTGTAGAAAGACATTTTAATTTTTTACTGGCTGAGGGATAGATTTTTCTACCTAGAAATCCAGAAAAGTTGTGTACACTTTCACAGTAAATCAGACATAGTACCAACTAGTTAACTAGATACTGAGCTGCAGTGTGTGTGCCACCACCCATGATTCTCTTCTTCCAAAGCTGTTTTCATCCTTTGCTGTTGTTAGGTTTTTAAAGTCCAGGGATGGAGGGATATTGCTGCTATGATTGTGGTTAGATATTGTTCTAGATCACTTGTAAGTTACTTTTTTGTAACACCTTTACTACATCAACTGTGTTTTACATATTATCATACTAATTTCAAGAAAGAAGTTTCTTGCTACTTTGGATTTCTAGCGAAGAAGACAGTTGGGGAAAGTATTTTAATGTCCCTGGAAAATGCCATGGGCTTTTTCAGATAAAGAATACAATTAAAATGGAGATGGGAAAGCAAAAAAGGGATAATTGGTGGAGTCTAATTCTAGCCAATAATACAACATTCTAATATTTAATTCCTCAAGTGTCATATTGCTGCAGAGTTTTTACCAGGGTCACTTCAGTAATCATAGGCTGACTGTGATCATACACAAAAAAAATCTACCCTGAATTAGGGGAAATCTTGAGGAAGCAGATTTTGGAGTTTCTGTTGCACTTTTGGAGAGACAGCAACGGTACCAAAAAAAAACTTTAAAGAAAAACAATTGTTTTATTTTCTTACTACCATATTGGTTTTTCTACAATTATGTTATTTTCTGAAATCAAAATATTTTTATTTAAAGGAGGCTGTCATTAACATATCAGATAATATGTGGTTGTATTGTTCAAAATCGGTAGATTTTTGGAACAGAGTAATTAAATTTTTTTTTAAAAAAAGAAAATAATTCATCAAGACCTAGATCCCAGATGTGCTTCATTATCCTTAACCATTTTTAAAGGGGAAGACACAAATGTTTTGCATAAAGAGCTTATTGTTATGTTCTTGGGGTCTGCAGGGCTGGCGATTACAAGAGCATGGAAAACACTGAAGATCTTTCATTTTGACTGTGGTTGGACTGTGTGAGGGCTGTTGTTGCTTTTGTGGAAAAATTGACCTGTAGAACCCAAATGGCTAGAGGGGCACTCAAAAAAGATAAGTTTGTTACAGTTTGGTCTTCTTTTATTTCATCAGTAACTGGTAAGAATCGTCATGTGGTTCTTCATCACATCAGCAAACAATTTGGGTTTCAGCCTTTTAATACAATGTAAGCCATTGTCAGGGTACTGGGATGGAGCTTAACATAAAACAATGTTTATGCTTTTATGTTTTATCATTTTGTTTTGTTTGGCATGCATGTGCACACACACACATATATTAAACTAGCATGCTAGAAACAGCTTGGAAATTTTTTTGTTCTGTTATTCATTCCAGTGCTACATTTATGTTATGTTACATTTTTAAGGCAGAAGCAATTTGTTGTTGCAGTGTTTTAAAAGTACCTTTTATTGCATTACTTACTGTATTTTGCAGTGTATAAGATGACTTTTTTACCCTGGAAAAGGATCTGAAAAGTCGGGGGTCATCTTATATGCCAGATAGAGAAAGAGGAGGATGAGGATGAGGATGAAGAGAGAAGGAGAAGGGAGCCAGGAGAGAGAAGGAG